CCATTATTTGCACCGGAAGCTCAATATAGGATAGATTGTTGTGAAGTGCAAAAGGTTCATATCGGAGTACATGCGATGGATCTGAGTGATATTTCTTCAACATCGACATGGAAGACATTGTGTATGTTGGCTAACTCAAGAGCAATGCTAAAATGTAGGCAACAACTCCCACTCTATTCAATATCTTAAAAGGTCTGATAAATCTAGAATTGAGTTTTTCTTTCTTCCCAAATCTCATTATCCCTTTAATTGATGAGATTTTAAAAAATACATGGTCGCTTACTTCGAATTCTAAATCTCTTCTTCGATTATCAGCATAACTTTTTTACATACTTTGAGCTGTTAGAAGATGTTTCTTCATTAATTTCACATTATCTATAGTTTCTTCCACTAATTCAGTTCCAACCAGTTTTTGTTCCCCTATTTCTTCCCAATAAATAGATGATTTGTAGGGTCTTCCATACAAAGCCTCATAGGGTGTCATTTGAATGCTGGACTGATAGCTATTATTATACGCGAATGCAATAAGAGGTAAATGATCGTCCCAATTATCTCGTAACTCAATGATACAGGTCATAACATATCTTCTAGAGTTTGGATTATTCATTTCGATTAACCATCTATCTAAGGATAGAAAGCCATACTAAAGGACAACTTGGTCCCCATAGCATTCTGTAGACTGGTCCAAGATCTTGAAGTAAAGTAAGGATCTTGATCAGAGACGATTGTGATTGAAATTTCATGCAATCTCATAATCTCCTTGATATAGAGTCTGACTAACTTGTCCAATGGGTTATTTACTTTGATAATTAGGAAATAAACATATTTAGTTAATCTAGCAATGATAACCCAGATAACATCATGCTGGGATCTTATTTTAGGTAGACCCACCACGAAATCTATGGTAATATGTTCCCATTTCCACTCTGCTACCGGCAATGGCTGAAGTAATCCTGCTGGCCTCTGACATTTAGCCTTTACTTGTTGACAGGTGAGACATTTAGAAATGAACTATTCTATATCCTTCTTCATCTCACTCCACCAGTATTTGGTCCTTAAGTTTTGATACATCTTAGTGTTGCTAGGGTACATAACAAATCTATAACCGTACACTTCTTCTAATATCTCATTTTTCAGACTGTTATTATTCGCACACATGCTCTGTTTCCAAACCTGAATACACCAT